ATTTAAAAAAAAGGCAGGAAGAACAGATCAGGAGGAAGACTACAGAAAGGCTGCCGTAGGCGGCAGATTTCATAAGTGAGGCTCCTTCATGGAATGCTTACAAAATACTTAGGTAGAAGCTGGTGACATTGCACTTGCATGTGGGGAAACTAACTTCGGGGCAGTGATGTAAAGTGCTTTCTGACCCTGGCGGTGCAGGGCAAGGGGGGTTAGCCCACCCAGCATGTCTCAGCCCTCCTCTTTTCACATTGGTAGGTTGTCTCCAAACACCATGGTGACACCTCACAAGAAGAGCATGCTGGGAAATGGCAACTACGACGTGAATGTCATTATGGCAGCACTTCAAACCAAAGGCTATGAAGCTGTTTGGTGGGACAAGCGCAGGTAATCTGAATCAGCCTTAACTTGGTGGAGAACAGCACGGTTGTGGTATAAGCTTTTAGTACTTGGGCTCATGGCATGAGTGGGGAGGTAGCCAGTTGTGGTATTACAGCCAGAGAACCTTGGGAAGTGGGCTGCCTCAGAGCCTATCACCATTTCTCCTCTGCAGGGATGTCGGTGTCATTGCCCTCACTAACGTCATGGGCTTCATCATGAATCTGCCCTCCAGCCTATGCTGGGGTCCACTGAAGCTGCCCCTCAAAAGGCAGCACTGGATTTGTGTCCGAGAGGTGGAAGGGGCCTACTACAACCTCGACTCCAAACTCAAGATGCCCGAGTGGATTGGAGGCGAGAGCGAGCTCAGGTAACCAGCACCTGTTGTGGCCAAGGTGCTGGGCTCCTTCATTTCTTATGTTGGGGACACAGAGCTCATCTCTGGTTATTTGACAAAAGGCAGTGAAATTCCTGTGTCCTTGGATTCTCTCCCTGCCTTACTTAGAATCATAGAGTCTGAGACCTGACCTTAATCTTCGATGGTCCATCAGTACTTTTAAGTCCTTTTGGTAGGGAAGATGCACAGCCTGGGATACTGGCCTTCTGGTCTGGCGGGGCTGGCATTGTAACCTTTTCTCCATTGAAGACAACTGAGACAGTGTAGTTGCCAGTTCATAGAAAGGAAGACATTCATTCAGGCCAGGAAGGACTGAATTTCCCTAGGACCAAAGAAGAGCATTTGTAAAAGTCCTTTAGAGGCTGGGCATAGTGGCTCATGCCTGTAATCCCAGCACTTTGGGAGGCCAAGGCAGGTGGATCACGAGATCAGGGGGTTGAGACCAGCCTGGCCAACATGATGAAACCCTGTCTAAAAATACAAAAATTAGCCAGGCATGATGTTGGGCACCTGTCTGTAATTCCAGCTGCTCAGGAGGCTGAGGCGGGAGAATCACTGTGAGGATGTTGCAGTGAGCCAAGATCATGCCATTGCCCTCCAGTCCAGGAGATAAGAGTGAAACTCTGTCTCCAAAAAAATAAAAAGTCCTTTATACTACTTTGGGTACTGTTAGTCACTGTTGGCAGTAACTACAAGGATGAGCAAAAATTTAGGTTGGGATTTTAAGCAGACAGATTGGAGGGGTAACCAAATCTCCAAAACCAGATGACTATAGGAATGATTTTAGGACCACCAAGGGTATAGTGAGGTTTCTGGTGACTTTGTGGTCCTGAGACTGGAATTTGCCACTCACTGGCATTTTCTCTATTCCTTTTTCCACAGGAAGTTTCTAAAACATCATTTACGAGGAAAGAACTGTGAACTCCTGCTGGTGGTACCAGAAGAGGTAGAGGCCCATCAGAGTTGGAGGACTGATGTGTAACACAGTTCTGCCCAGCCTCCCTCTCAGCTCAGCCCCTTCAGTGTCTGTGATGTGCTGTGGCCTCTGCAGTGGGTCTGCCCCTGCTGCTTCCCCAGACGTCTCATCGGGTTTTCCCCTTCAGATCTGACAGTGCAATAGGACAGACATGTGGACTGTTGTAAGAACTACCCAGTGTTTTGTTCCTGGGCAAGGAAGGTAGGAGCTCTGTGCACTCAAGGCCAGCAATCACAAACCCTTGTTTTGCTTAAGAGACAGAGGAGAAAGTGGAGTGGGGAGGGAATCCTAGCTTATTTTCCGTTTTCTGTGAGGACTTGACACAGGTGTTCTGCTGAGTTGTCACTGCTGCTTGAGACTCACCTAGAGATGCTGCCTCCACTTTCCACCCTGTCTGGGTCTGAAGGTAACGCACACAAACCCCATGGGACTGGTTTGAAGGCGCCAGAGCATAAAGATCTCTCAGGAAACCATGTCCCAAAACTCTGGCGGCGGTCCAGCATGCTTCTCCAACCCTTCTCCCGAGGTGTAAGGGTGGTTTATGGCCATACGTGGAGTTTTACAATGAAAAGTCTCTAATCCACACTAATATGCTAGCGTGAGCTGAGTAAGATAGAGACCTAACAGAATGTGGCTAAAGCCAAACTGGGACAGCCGTGCGGTGGCTCACTGCTTCGGTGTTGTCCCTACCCCTTCACTACATTGATTTAGGAGATTCTAGGACAAGAGAAGCCAAAAAGCAGTTTTCCCAGTTTAGTCACACTGGCAAAATCAGAAAAAAAAAGTCTGCCTTTAATATCAAATTCCACTAATTTGGGGCAGAGTTGGGTGAGGAAAGTATTGTGAAGACAGGATTCTCAGAGTAGGAGCAGCCAGAATTCAGTAGACGTTCTAGGCTCAGAGGCTGTCACTCTAGTGCCACGTTGGGTGGTTCTGTGCATTGTGGATGGAACAGGGCCTGGGTTTGTCATCTTCCTGTCGTTTTCTTTATATGTCAGTGGAAGTTCAACCTGCCCCTACCTCTTGAAATAGTTGTAGGCCACTTTTCTCTTGTAACTTTGGAAAACAAAAGAGGAGAAATAAGTATCATACCACACACATCTCCAAAGTGGGTGTGGTTACCTCAAGGCAGGTGGGCAGGCAGGGGTGACCCACTGGCCCTCAGATCGATGGTCTTGGCAGGTACTGAGAGCAGCCCTACTGGCCAGACTTCTCTCCAGCAGCAAAGCCAGCCTGGGGCTTGCATGTTGATCCTGAGCAAGCTTAACGGGGTGAAGCTGAGGCGTTCTCCCCCTGTGACTGGAGTGCATGTTTACACCAGCACTTTTTCCGCACATGTATCTTCAATCCAACAAGGCCGTTTTGTTGTTTTTAATGCTGAGTAACAAGCCACCAAGCGGCTACTGCATTGTGTCTTCTCAGCAACTGGCAGCAGTCTCTTCTGCACCATTTTCTACACCAGACCTGCTTGGCGCCACAGGGAGCTCTTCCCACCCTGCACAATGACATTCCAACCACCACCAGCCAGACGTTACAGCCAACCTTGCTGAGTGTCACAAGCAGGACCTTGGGGCCACTGGCACTGTCAGAGATAGTAAGCCATTTCTTGGGAAGAGGAGGAAACTCCTCTCCACAAATCCGATTGGGCCTGTGCAAATGGCACTTCAGAGTCCCCATGCACTTGGAGTCCATGAGCCAATGGGATATGCAAAGACGCTTAAACATTTCAGGGCTGGTTTCTCTGTTCATATCCAATTCTGGTGCTTAGGAACAGGGACCCATGATGCCCAAGGGCAAAAAGCCCCACTTCCTTCAGGGAAGTGAGCAGGCCTGACCCTGATGCCCAGTAAGGGGCAACCCTAGGCTTTTTTTTTCTTGCTTTTATTCCTTTTTGTTGTTGGCCTTGTGTTGGGCTTGTTTACAAAAGATGTATTTTGTTTAACCAAATATTAAAAATGGAAAACTCTGTATGTCTTGTCTGCCTGAATTCTCTAATTGTGCAAAGGAAGAAAAATAAACTTCAGTATGATCCTGTTTTAAAAGGAATTCATTGCCAGTATAAGTCATCTTTTAGAGACATACCTTGCTTTGATTAAATCTTTAACCTGAGAAATCCAGACAGAATTGTTGCTGAAATGGGATTTGGTTCAAAAGATGTCCCCAAGACATTTTTCCGTCTATTTTATTAAAATTAAGCTTGACAATGTGAAGAATCCAGGTAACTACAAGTTTGTACCACACTGGGGACTCATGTTTTTCCCTAGTTAACACGTGAAAGACCATACATCTGCACAGAGGGCCTGGGCCCAGCTTCACCATCCTAAGCACACAGCAGCAGCGTTCTGTAGTGGACTGCCTGGATTGGAATCCAGATCTAGCACTTAACTTTCCAGCCTGAGCGATTACCTTTCTGTGGCTGTCTCCTCTGCTGTAAAATGGGAATACCACCTCCTAAATTGTCTAGTGTTGACTGATCTGGTAACTCACATAAAAGGCTTACTCTGGCTGACCGTGGTGGCTGACACCTGTAATCCCAACACTTTTCAGATGCCAGAGGTGGGTGGATGGCTAGAGCTCAGGAGTTCAAGACCAGCCTGGGAAACATGGCGAAACCCTGACTCTACCAAAAATACAAGAAACTAGCTGGGCATGGTGGCGTGTTCCTGTAGTCCTAGCTACCCAGGAGGCTGAGTTGGGAGCATCACCTGAGCCTGGGAGATAGAGGTTGCTGTGAACCCAGATGACACCACTTTGTTCCAGTGAGACCTGGTTTCAGGCAAAAAAAAAAAAAAAAAAAGATCTGTCCCAATTCTGCAGAAATAAATGTTATTCTATACAAATGCTTTATAATTATAGTTATTATAGACTGAAGAAGTACATGGACCCAATCCTTTCTTTTAGGCTGATGGATCTCAAAGTGACTGCCTAAATTCAGGGTAAACATTGCTATGAAATACTTGGCTAAAATGATTTTTTGGGAGCCCTGGTGGCTCGGGCCAGTTGTCCTGGTGCTTGAGGAGGTGAGGCTATGAGTTCAAGGCCAACCTGAGCAACATAAGAACCTCTCATTCATTAACAAAAAAAAATTAAAAAAAAAAAAAAAGATTTTTTTTGGAAACAATTTGGGCCTATGGGGTGAGTGCTAAGATGGAGGTGCTGCTGGGTTAGGTGAGAGGAAATGTGAGGGACAGTATGTCTCTCTGACCCTCTGGTCTCATTTCAAGGTACTTATCACAAGCACATGAATGACACTTTCAGTTGGAATCATTTTTAATATTTAAATACAAAAAGTGAGCACTAACTTCTGGTTTTTTAAACCCATACACCCAGGTCTAACAGCCAAAATGTGCAGAGAAAATCAGCCCCTGCCCTGTCTTCCATAGTCCCCATTCTGTGGCTGAAGCGGCAGCCTCCCTCCTCTTATACATAGGAATTCATAGTGGCCACTTTACACTACAGGTGTAATGTATTTTGTCTGTTTCACATTGTGTGCATGTCCCTCCCCAACAGCTCTATTCTTTTAAAAAAAAAAAAAAAAGTAGTCGTTAATAGTCAGGGGCACATCCCTCCCAATGGCATCGGTTCCTACCCCACAAGGGGAAAGTGAGATCTTCCAGTTAGGAGCAATTTGGTGAAAGGAGTGGAGTGGCCAGAGCTGGAATAACCGTCTGCATGGCTGCACTCTGGTATCAGAGTGAAGACAGAAGCAAGTCAGGATAGCATGGAGGGCACAGCTGCAAGTTGAGTCTTTCCATGAGACAATGTGGGGAGAATTCTCTCCACCAGGTTTAGATAGATCAATGTGCCAAAGTTTAAAAAAAAAATCCAAATAATCAGCAGTTCAAACACTACTGAATTTCAAACTTCTCCCACCAAGACAGCTCAAAGAGCAGTAACAATCTAAATCTTTCCAGGAAGTGAAGGTAGAGCCCCTGGCATTCCTCCTGAGAGCCCTGTGTTAGGCCCTAGAAGTATCTGGAAAAGAAAAGGAGCGGTGTAAGGCATCATACAGGCCTTGAGATGTTATTCTCACCGTCAGGCACCTGAAAGAGCATGGACATGATCTCAGTCCCCACCACACATTAACTGTTGGTCAACCCAGGTTCGAGAACAGGAGTCTCCAATCCCTGGGCCATGGACTGGCACTGGTCCATGGCCTGTTAGGAGCCGGGCCACACAACAGGAGGTGAGCAGCAGGCAAGTGAAAGAAGCTTCATCTGTGTTTATAGCTGTTCCCCATTGTTCACATGACCACCTGAGCTCTGCCTCCTGTCAGATCAGCAGGATTAGATTCGCATAGGAGCACAAACCCTTGTGAACAGTGTATGAGAGGGATCTGGGTTGCATGCTCCTTTTGAGAATCTAATGCCTGATGACCTGTCACTGTCTCCCATCACCCCCAGATAAGACTGTCTAGTTGCAGGAAAACAAGCTTAGGGCTCCTGCTGATTCTACATTATATATTACAACGTAATAACAGAAATTCAGTGCACAATAAATGTGATGCACTTGAATCATCCGAAAAACATCCCTCCTACCCCCACCATCCATGGCAAAACTGTCGTGCATGAAACCAGGGGTTGGTTTCACGGAAGACGATTAGAGAAATAACTTGCGTCTCCACCACTGGCAAAATGCCCAGGCTCTGGGCTCACCTGCCGCTGCTGCAGTTGCTGCTGCTGCTCCATTTGCAACTTCTCAGTTTCAAAGACAACTGGAAGAACCAGGATCATAAAGGAAGTGGTCCCAATCCACAAGGCTGCCCTGGAAAACCTGCAGAGGAAAACGCCCAAAGGATTTTCAAAGAGCTTCATGCTTCAAAGAGCATGAAGACACACAAACAAAACAGGGAAAAACTACCCAATAACCAAACCTCTCACATTACATATGCCCATGTTTTTGGTAAACGTATTCTACCCACTCCTTGAACCATACTCCTACCAGAGACAGAAGGAGCAGCTGTGGTGGCTGTATCAGTTAGTGATGGCGGTTTTAACGTTCTCCTTAGTTCTTAGAAAGCTCCTTATTAATTATCTCCAACAATCTGAAATAACCCCCACAACGCCCCTGCCAGTTAAGAATCCCCCCATTTTACAGAAGAGGAAACTGAGACTCAGAAAGGTTAGGGTACAACAAGCCCAAGGTCACTCAACCCAGGTATCCTGCTTGCAAACCCCGTGTTCTTTCACAGCACCGCGGTGATCCCATGCACGTACCCAATGCCTTTGCCTCATTCCTTACCTGTACATTTTTTGAGCCACAAACAGGGAGAGATCAAAAGTGGCTCCCGCCGCGGACCGTACCCTCTCCGGAAACATCTCCGTCAGGCCCCATAGTCTCTCCGACAGGGTCTCATCTAGCTGTGGTGGAGGAGGCGCGGGTCTTACAAGAAAAAGCGGCATCCATTCCCGGCCCCACTGCGGCGCTGGGAGTCGTCGAGACCACTGGAGCTAGGGCACCCCCGGGCCCAGCGGGGCCCCTAACCCCGCCTCCCAGAAAAGCAGCTTCGCTCGGATCCCGTACCACGCGGATTCCCCCACCAGCGAGCAGGACCGCTTCCCGCCCCGCACCCCGAGAGCCCCTAGTACCTCGTCGTCGTCGTCCTCCTCCAGCTCCTCCTCAGTCTTCTCCGCGTCGCCTTTCGGGAGCAATTCGTCCGGGGACTGAGGTTCCCCTGCACCGGCAGCAGCGACGGCGGCAGCCATGGCTGTAAGGTACACCGGAAGCGGAAAAGAAGAGGCGAGCGCAGCCGAACGGCGGACAGAATCGCTCTTCCGGGAGTCGAGGCGCGAGCCAGGAGAGAGCGGCGCCCTCTAGCCCCCGGGTCCTCCAGCGCCCGCAGCCGGTCCGGCAGCCTTGGCCTTAACCGGGCGTCCGGTCTTCAGTGGGCATTAGCAGCAGCTGGGAGGCCTGTGAGAGGTTCCGGGGTGACACCGCAGTCACTTTGTTCAGCGGGTTTAGGGTGAGCCCAGAAACTGCTTGTTTTTTCTTTTTCTCAAATGAGTTGATTCAATTCCAGATGATGAGTTTAGGGCAGAACAAAGATCAAAGGGCTGACTCTGGCAAGATTCTGGGCTGGTTCTACTTGACGAGTGAAAACAGCTCGAAAAGATGATGAGCCCCTGTATTTTCTTTTCTTTTTTTTTTTTTGAGACGGGAATCTTGGCTCTGTCGCCCAGGCTGGAGGGCAGTGGCGCCATCTCGGCTCACTGCAACCTCCGCCGCCTGGGTTCAAGCGATTCTCCTGCCTCAGCCATCCCAGTAGCTGAGATTACAGGTGCCGGCCACCACGCCTGGCTAATTTTTGTATTTTTAGTAGAGACAGGGTTTTGCCATGACCTCAAGTGATCCACCAATCTCAGTCTCCCAAAGTGCTAGGATTACAGGCGTGAGCTACTGCGCCTGGCCTAGATATATTTATGTATTATATGTATTTTGTGTGTGTGTTGTATATACACATATAAAAAGACAGGGTTTCACCATATTGCCTAGGCTGGTCTCAAACTCCGGGGCTCAAGCAATCCACCTGCCTCAGCCTCCCCAAGTCCTGGGATTACAGGCCTGAGCCACTCTGCCCCTCCTTGTCAGATTTGTTTTTTTTTTTTTCTTTTGAGACAGTCTCACTCTGTCACCCAGGCTGGACTGCAATGATATGATCTCGGCTCACTGCAGCCTCCACCTCCCAGGTTCCGGCGATTCTCCTCCCTCAGCCTCCTGAGTAGCTGGGACTACAAGCGCCCGCCACCACATCTGGCTAATTTTTGTATTTTTAGTAGAGACAGGGTTTCACCATATTGGCCAGGCTGGTCTCGAACTCCTGACCTTGTGATCTGCCCACCTTGGCCTCCCAAAGTGATGGGATTACAGACATGAGCCCCCGCACCCAGCTGCCAGATTTCTTAATTCTGCCTGTGGCCAGGGCCAAAGCTTTATCTTCCTTGTCCATCTCTTTGGCCTGCCTCTTGCACTGTTTTAGGGACTTCTCTGCCACCTTCGTGGACAGGGCACCTGCAGCCCCTTCCCCAGACCCTGCCTGGAAAGCTGCATTTTAACGAGGCTCCCTGGAGTCACACTTTGGGAAACACTAATCCAGTTTCATTCTCCTGAGCCATATACTAATTGGTAGGAATAAATTAGTGTCTTGGAGAATAAATCAGTGGTTTGGGAAGACATCAGGTAAATCTTCCCAATGTACCAAAGGTAAGAGCTACCACTTAAGTCCCAGGCGCTCTGGCACCTGTGGGCGTGGGTGGGTGCAGTGTGTCTTCATTTACTCTTCACAGCAACTCACTGTGGTAGGTACTGTTATCCCCAGTTTAGAAATGAGGAGACTAAGGCATTGTACATAGATTTCTAGTAAAAAGGTGAGCTGGTCAGAAAGTATGCAGATATACATTTATTTATTTTTTATTTTTTTTGAGACGGAGTCTTGCTCTGTTACCCAGGCTGGAGTGCAGTAGTATGCTCTTGGCTCACTGCAACCTGGGCTCAAGCAATTCTCCTGCCTCAGCCTCCCAAGTAGCTGGGACTACAGGTGTGCGCCATCATGCCTGGCTAATTTTTTTGTATTTTTAGTAGAGATGGGATTTCACTACGTTGGCCAGACTGATCTCAAACTCCTGACCTCAGGTGATCCACTGGCCTCGGCCTCCCAAAGTGCAGTGACTCCAAATGGAAAGTAGTTAGCAATGTTAATGTGGAGAAGTTTTTTTTTTTTTTTTTTTTTTTTTTTCAGATGGAATTTCGCTCGTTACCCAGGCTGGAGTGCAATGGCGCGATCTCTGCTCACGGCAACCTCTGCCTCCTGGGTTCAGGCAATTCTCCTGCCTCAACCTCCTGAGTAGCTGGGATTACAGGCATGTGCCACCATGCCCAGCTAATTTTTTGTATTTTTAGTAGAGACGGGGTTTCACCATGTTGACCAGGATGGTCTCGATCTCTTGACCTCGTGATCCACCCGCCTCAGCCTCCCAAAGTGCTGGGATTACAGGCGTGAGCCACCGCGCCCAGCCAATGTGGAAAAGTTTTAGGAAAATCAATGAATGTTGTTTATATTCATAAGAGCAACACATGATTTTTTTAAAAACCTGTTTAAGGATGAAAGAGCTCCTTCAACAATTATAGAATTTCCAAGGGATAAGAAAAAATATTGGAAATCATGCAATGCAGAGTATTCAAAACTGGGAGGAGATGAGATGATCTAGAAAAGGCAGTGTGGCCAGGTGTGGTGGCTCACGCCTGTAATCCCAACACCTTGGGAGACTGAGGCAGGCAGATCACTTGAGGTCAGGAGTTTGACACCGGCCTGACCAATATGGTGAAACCTCCATCTCTACTAAAAGTACAAAAACTAGCCAGGCTTGGTGGCAGGTGCCTGTAATCCCAGCTACTCAGGAGGCCCAGGCAGGGGAATCTCTTGAACCGGGAGGTGTTGTTTGCAGTGAGCCAATACTGTGCCACTGCACTCCAGCCCGGGCAACATAGTGAGACTCCATTAAAAAAAAAAAAGAATAGGCAGAGTGAGAACAGGAGATGGAGCCCTATGGGATCAGACATTTAAAGTTTGGGGAGAGGAAAACCAGAGGGCTGAGGCATTGCTGAAGGCTTCCAGAGGAAGGCTCAGCAGCAGAGAGGGCATGTGAGACTCGCCAGGACGGCAGAGGTCGCAGCAGTGGACAAGGGTGTCAGCAAGCTCTTAGTTAGGGATTGGGGCATGGGTCCCTTGGAAAATCCTATGAAAGCTGTAAGCCCCTCCCATTAAAAAGTGCACAGTTCCCCTTGTAAGGACTCAAACTCAGACTTCCTCCGATTATTGCCTCTCATCCCACTTGCACTCATTCCCTCCCTCCTGCCCACAGAACCTTTACTTTCTTTTTTTGATATGGGAGGCTTGAGCTGTTGCCCAGGCTGGAGGGCAGTGGTGCAGTCTCAGCTCCCTGCAACCTCTGCCTCCTGGGTTCACACGATTCTCCTGCCTCAGCCTCCCTAGTAGCTGAGATTAGGTGCCCGCCACCACACCAGGCTAATTTTTGTATTTTTAGTAGAGACGGGGTTTCACCCTCTCTATGTTGGCCAGGCTGGTCTCCCAACTCCTGACTTCAGGTGATCCTCCCATCTCTGCCTCCCAAAGTGCTGGGATTACAGGCATGAGGCACTGTGCCAGGACCTTTTCTAAAAAAAGTTTTGCTCTTTTGCCCAGGCTGGAGTGCAGTTGTGTGATCTCAGCTTATTGCAACCTCTGTCTCCTGAGTCCAAGTGATTCTCCTGCTTCAGCCTCCGGAGTAGCTGGGATTACAGGCACCTGCCACCGCACCCGGCTAGTTCTTTTTATTTTCACCACTTTGGCTAGGCTGGTCTCAAACTCCTGACCTCGTGATCCGCCTGCCTCAGCCTCCCAAAGTGCTAGGATTACAGGCATGAGCCACCTCACCTGGCCCTTTAAAAATCTTTTTTTAACAAGACAGTGTCTTGCCCTGTCACACAGGCTGGAGAATAGAGTGGTACAATCCTGGCTCACTGAAGTCTCAATCTCCCAGGTTAAAGGATCTTCCCACCTCCTCCTCCAGAGTAGCTGGGGTTACAGTTGTGTGTCACCACGCCTGGCTAACTTAAATTTTTTTTTGTAGAGATGGTGTCTCAGTATGTTGCCCTGGCTGGTCTCAAACCTCTGGGCTCACCCAATCCTTCCCTGGCCTCCTGAAGGGCTGGGATTACAGGCATGAGCCACTGCACCTGGCCAGTAAAATCTTTGAGGATGAAGAATTTTAGCCAGAACCTGAAGGATATATCTGACTCTACTTAGATTTGAAAGTATAAAATGTCTCAAGAAAAACAAAACACCTCACTGAAGGAAACAGGGTTAGTGTGGTGATTAGTGATTTCATTTTCCTTTTCTCCTAAAGACTTTAATAGGAGTGTCCTTGATTCGTACCCCGAATCCATCAGCAAACACTGGTAGGCTCCACCTTCAAGTCTTATCTAGAATCAGACCACCTCACCTCATCTACTGTGGCCTCCCTGGGCCGGGCCTGGCATCTTTCAGTCTGTTCTCACCACACAGCCACCAGAGGGATCCTTTTATTTTTACTGATTGCTTGATTGATATGGGGTCTGACTCTTGTCAGCAGGCTGGAGTGCAATGGCACAATCTCACCTCACTGCAACCTCTGCCTCCTGGACGCCGTCCTCCCACCTCTGCCTCCCAAGTAGCGGGGACCACAGGCACAAGCCACTATGCCCAGTTAATTTTTTTTGTATTTTTGGTAGAGACGAGGTTTCACCATATTGTCCAGGATGGTCTTGAACTCCTAAACTGACGCAATCTACCCACCTGAGCCTCCCACAGTGCTGGGATCACAGGTGTGATCACCACACACAGCGCCTTTTCACACTGCAGCTGGATCATAGCATTTCTCTGCTCATAGCAATGGCTTCTGCTCACTCCAAATAAATTCCATCTTCACTGCAGAGCTGCCTCTCCTACCACAGGGTGTTTAGGTCCTAATGGTGGGGATGCCAGGGAACCCACATCATTGTGACAACCAAATGATGCCCAGGGTTTCAGTCCCGGCTCCACCCCTTCCACTGTGTCACTCTGCTGGGTCAGTTCCTTCCCACTTGACTTCAGGAGCTGGATTCTCTCCTCCTGCCAGTGAAGTCCAACTTGCACTGCCTGACACAAATTCTGACACCAACCAATAGGTCCCAACTCCATGAAGCAGGAGGGCAGGCAAATTTGAGCAGAGACTGTTCCCATTTGGCATCAGCCTCTGCCGAATGCCCAGGAAAGCTGGAATGCTCTTCGGCAAGCATGACATTTCCTCACACCCTAAACACTTTTTTTTTTTTTGAAATGGAGTCTTGCTCTGTCACCCAGGCTAGAGTGCAGTGGCACGATCTCGAAACCTCCATCTCCCAGGTTCAAGCGATTCTCCTGCCTCAGCCTCCCGAGTAGCTGAGACTACATGCGCGTGCCACCATGCCCAGCTAATTTTCTTTTGTATTTTTACTAGAGACGGGGTTTCGCCATGCAGGCCAGGCTGGTCTCAAACTCCTGACCTCAGACGATCCACCTGCCTTGGCCTCACAAAGTGCTGGGATTACAGTGTGAGCTCCTGCGCCCGGCCGATTCTGTCTTTGGATGGAGCAACAGAAGCTTAGACTGTAGGCTCCATTTCTTTTTAAACAGGATCTTGTTCTGTCACCCAGGCTGGAGTGCAGTGGAGCAATCACAGCTCACTGCAGCCTCGACCTCCCTGGGCTCAAGTGATCCTCCCATCTCAGCCTCCTGACAGGCTGGGACTATGGGTGTGCACCAGCATGCCCGGCTACATGACTTTTTGTATTTTGTTTTGCTATTGCCAGGTCTTGAACTCCTGAGCTAAAGCAATCAGCCACCTCAGCCTCTCAAAGTGCTGGGATTACAAGTGTGAGTTACCTGGCCAGGTTCCATTTACTTTTTTTTTTTTTCTTTTTTGAGACGGAGTCTCTGTCACCATGCTGGAGTGCAGTGGTGCGACCTCGGCTCACTGCAACCTCTGCCTCCTTGGTTCAAGCGATCCTCCTGCCTCAGCCTCCCAAGTAGCTGGAACTACAGGTGCCCACCACCATGTCCAGCTAATTTTTGTTCTTTTTAGTAGAGACAGAGTTTCACTACGTTGGCCAGGATGGTCTCAATCTCCTGACCACATGATCTACTCACCTTGGCCTCCCAAAGTGCTGGGATTACAGGTGTGAGCCACTGCGCCCAGCCTAATTTTTGTATTTTTAGTTGAGATGGGGTTTCACTCTATTGGCCAGGCTGTTCTTGAACTCCTGACCTCAGGTGATCCACCCACCTCAGCCTCCCAAAGTGCTGGGATTACAGGCGTGAGCCACCGCGCCTGACCAGCTCCATTTACTCCTTGAGGAACTCATGCTTCTCTTTTCAGTCACTGTGGTCACAGATCATTTAATAAAAAAGTAGAGCAAACAGGAACGTAGCATAAAACCTAGTGTTGCTGAGGAAGGCTGGTGCTTGCTGTTGAGAAGCAGAGGCCAGAGGAGGCTGGGTGTGAGGGAGGAGGATTCTTTAAAGGCAGGAAGAGAGAGGGCCTTTAAGAGCCAGGAGAGCCGCTCATTCATGACCCCCAACGTAGAGTTCTGTAGAACTGCTGCCACACCCCAAACACCAACGTAAGGGCGTAAGAGAATGAGCTCCAGCCACTTCTCCAAACAGGGCAGGGCCCAACACAGCTATTCTGGGACATGTGTGTTTGCAAGCTTATGTGCGTGGAGAGTGCCCAAAAGCTCATCAGCAGACCCAGACCTCCACGCAGTCTGGTTTTCAGACTGGCATCCGCAGACAGTGCATGTGAAGCGCCTTCTCATTACTGCCCCCATGTGGAATCTTGGTCTTCTCCATTCCGTGTCACCTTCGATTGCCAACCCAAGGGTGCCAGTGCCTGTGAGTCCCATTATAGGATACTCTCTCCCAGGACCAAATCCGCTAGTCTGACCAAAAAAAAAAAAAAAAGCACTTAGCCACATCCTACTCCGTAATGAAATGCCTCTGGGGTCTTCATTTTCTCTTCCGGCTGATCCTCAGTTCATCCAGTTCCTTCTCCATTAAGTGGGATTTGGCAGTGGACTCTGAGAGCTGAAAGTCAAGCAGCAGCTGTTAGAAGGCAGGACATTTCTAGGAGATGTTTCAGATTTGCAAGGCCGGCCCTACACGTGCAGGAAAGGCCCCTGGCACTTCTCTGATGCTGCTGGTCTCCATGATGGGAAGCCCTCTATGCTTGGGTAGAATGCAAGCACCTGATGACCCAGGACCACAAGTATTTGAAGAGTATTCACAGTGCACTCTGTCAGCACGCTGTCACCCATGAACGCATGGCACTCCCTGAACGAAGGAGACCAGGTCTCAGAGGATGTCAAAGACAGATACTGGTGATTCTAAGGCTAAGGGATTAGAGTTTAAGTTGCTCCTAAACTGTAGCTCCCATAATGGGGATTAGGGGAAAAAAATGCTTGAAAAGAATGCCATTTTCCTCCTTAGGGTTGTTTGTTTGTTTGGTTTTTGTCTTCATTTTTTGAGACAGCGTCTCGCTCTATCACCCAGGTTGGCTGCTTTTCTTGTACTAACTCACTATGAGGTAATACTACAATTATGTTCATTTTAAAAAAACCATCCAAGCCAGGTGCAGTGGCTCATGCCTGTAATCCCAGCACTTTGGGAGGCTGAGGCAGGCGGATCACTTGAGGGCAGGAATTTCAGACCAGCCTGGCCAACATGGTGAAACCTCTTCTCAACTAAAAATGCAAAAATTAAACAGGCGTGGTGGCGGGAGCCTGTAATCCCAGTTACTTGGGAGGGCAAGGCAGAAGAATCACTTGAACCTGAGAGGCAGAGGTTGCAGTGAGCAGAGATCATACCACTGCATTCCAGCCTAGGCTACATAGCAAGACTTTGTCTCAAAAAAATAAGTAAGTACAAGTAAAAATTATCTCAGCTCATTGCAACCTCCGCCTACCAGGTTCAAGCGATTCTCCTGCCTCAGCCTCCACACCCGGCTAATTTTTGTATTTTTAGTAGAGATGGGGTTTCACCATGTTGGTCAGCCTGGTCTCGAACTCTTGACCTCATGATCCACCTGCCTCAGCCTCCCAAAGTGCTGGGATTATAGACGTGAGCTGTCACACCCAGCCTAGTCCTTTTTTTTTTTTAAAGTCAGTGACTCACGCCTGTAATCCCAGCACTTTGGGAGGCTGAAGCAGGCAGATCACCTAGGGTTGGGAGTTCGAGACAAGCCTCACCAACATGGAGAAACCCCATCTCTACTAAAAATACAAAATTATTTGGGTGTGGTGGCACGGGCCTGTAATCCCAGCTACTTGGGAGGCTGAGGCAGAAGAATTGCTTGAACCTGGGAGGCGGAGGTTGTGGTGAGCTGAGATCACACCATTGCACTCCAGCTTGGACACTGTCCCAAAAAAACAACAAAAAAAGACAGGGTCTTGTTTTGTTGCCCAGGCTGGTCTCAGACTCCTGGGGTTAAGCCATCCTCCTGTCTTAGCTTCCCGAATAGCTGGGACTCCAGGGGTGTACCCCCACAATGAGCTGTTATGCCATTTATTGCTGAAGAAATTAAACTGCAGAGCACTTAGTCAATACTGGAGCTGGGCAAGGAACCCAGGCCATTTTGCTCCAGAGTGTGTGTTCTTCACCACCCCCGTGTGTGCTCTCCTGCCTCTGAATCTTCACAGGCTCCTCTAGGCCCAATGGGTTGCTGGATTTTTAACAGCCGCAAGAAACCAACACTAACACAGTGTGGGCCTCTCAGCATGTCTGCGCTGGGTATTAATGCCTATAAGCCAGCTCTTCCCCTCTTCCTGGGATGCTTCCATCCCAACCTCCGTTCCTGCCATTATCCTTCCACTTTCAGCTCAGATATCCCTTCCTCTGGGAAGCTCTCCCGACCTGAGAGAATTGACTTCCCCATCATGTGCTACGCAGATGCTGTGCAGACTCCAGCTGGGTCCGTACCACTGCCATCATGATACAGCCCACTTGCCTCTAGACCGTGGGCAGAAACTGTGTCTTGTTTCTTAGGATACAAAGCAACGTACCTGGCCAGACTGGCATTGAGGAAGTATCTGTTGGCTTAAATGACTCAAGGTGGAGCTTCTCTGAAAGGAGAACCTAGGCATCTCTTACCCATTACCTGCCTCACCATGTCTAACAGGATGTCCACTTTCAGCCGCAAGAGATTGTTCTCTTCCTCCAGCTGCTGGTTCCGCCTACGAAGGCGCTGGACCTCCCTCCGGTCCACACCTCCACTCACCCCTGTCTCTGGAGGAAGGACAGAACCAGTTAAAGGGGGGTTTCCTTCTACAATCTTGATTGATGAGATGGCAGGAAGCGCAGCTCACCTGCTATCCACTGGCCATTTTCAAACTTCAGGCTCTGCCCTGCCAGGTTCATAGTGGGGGATCCATATTCCAAGCCCAGCTCCAACTCCCGGGTTGAGCGGTCCAACTGTGGGCGAGACGCTACGTGACAGCTTCAGCAGGCCCGGAACTTGCCCTCATTCCAGCTCCTCTTCCCCTAACAATGTGACCCCACTCACTCATTTTTCTAATCATTACCTGGCACCTTTAATGATTTTTGTAAAGGCCATAAAATCAGATGATGTATACCAAAAGTTTAATTAGAGATTTAAAAAAAAGTTTATACATTAGATGTTTTCTAGAAAAGCTATATATACTGAAAATTATAAATTGAATTATTTTACATCTACTAGACACTTAATAGTTGAAGCAATCCTGTCAATTGTTAAGTGAAAAATCCTTTTAAAATATAATAGTCCCCTAAGTTATCATTTTCTTAATACAGAGCTACATATGTTGTGGAAAAGATGTGAAATTCTAACAGGAAGAAGAGGAGTTGCTTCTTAATGCGCAACAGTACAATTTACATAGTAATTTCTTTTCTTTCTCTCTTTTTTTTTTTTTTTGAGACAGTTTCTCTCTGTCACCCAGGCTGGAGTACAGTGGCGCCATCTCAGTTCACTGCAGCCTCCACCTCCCAGGTTCAAGTGATCCTCCCACGTCAGCCTCCAAGTAGCTGGGACTACAGGCACGTACCACCACAGCTGGCTAATTTTTGTTTTGTTTTGTTTTGTTGGAGACAGAGTCTTGTTCTGTCGCCCAGGCTGGAGTGCAGTAGCACAATCACAGCTCACTGCAAATTCCGCCTCCAGGGTTCAAGTGATTTTCCTGCCTCAGCCTCCTGAGTAGCTGGGACTACAGATGTGTGCCACCACACCTGACTAATTTTTCTATTTTTTAGTGGACACAAGGTTTCACCATATTTGGCCAGGCTGGTCTTGAACTCCTGAACTTGTGATCCACCCGCCTCAGCCTCCCAAAGTGCTGAGATTACAGGCATGAGCCACTGCACCCAGCCCATATATTCATTTCTACAACTCAGTGAGCACCCACCCTAATTCAGGACTCGGTACTGGGTACCCAGGGAAGAGTATGAGCAGCTCTTCCTCAAGAGCAGCTCAACAGGGAGAGACCTTCAGGGAAGTGTGCAAATGTCCCTTTCTCAGTCAGGCCTTCCTGACCACCCTGGTGAAGATGACAGTTCTGTCCCCACTACTCAGAAACACCCCTTCCCAGGCCTATGATTTGTTTTGCTGTCTACCACCTATCACCCTCTGATTTAAATGTGCTGATTTTCTGTAGCCTTCCATTAAAATATCTGCCCCATTAAGGCAGGGACTGGATGTTTTTCCTCTCCCCTCCTTCATCCACTTCTGCCTGCCAGTGCTTAGAAGAGTGCCTGCCACATAGAAAGGTATCAATCAATAGCTCTTGAATTAATCAATAGAGAAGAACGTTCTAGGTCGGGCATGGTGACTCATGCCTGTAATCCCAGCACTTTGGGAGGCTGAGGCGGGCAGAGCACCTGAGGTCAAGAGTTCGAGACCAGCCTGACCAACATGGAGAAACCGTCTCTGTCAAAAAAAAAGTGCAAAATGAGCTGGGCATAGTGGCACATGCCTATAATCCCAGCTACTTGGGAGGCTGAGGCAGGAGAATCGCTTGAGCCCGGGAGGCGGATATTGCAGTGAGCCGAGATCACGCCACTGCACTCTAGCCTGGGCAACAAGAGCGAAACTCCATCTCAAAAAAAAAAAAAAAAAATCAGCCAGGCATGGTGGCAGGCACCTATAATCCCAGCTACTTGTTCAGGAGGCTGAGGAAGGAGAATCACTTGAACCCAGGAGGTGGAGGTTGCAGTGAGCTGAGATTGCACCACTCAAGGGTAGAAAGACTCCATCTCAAAAAAAAAAAACAAAAAACTGGATAATATTGTTTGGGGTCAAATATCATAATGAGATTGTCTTCTTAGGTTCCTGGATAAACAAGCTCTGACAATCATTCCCAAACAAGAGTTCGAAAACGTTTTCAGCAATAGCAATCATATGGATGGAAAGGATGCCCTCCTGCAGCGATGCCTCCAGAGGACCGGTTTCCACTCAGACACGCACTCAGCACTCAACTCACGCTGCACACTGGGCTGACGCCAGTACCGACACTCACAGAATGCAGGTTGGAGAGAGATGCAGACTTCCGAGGAGGTGTCTTCTTCGGACTGAACATATTCCAAAAGAAGGGCATCTTTGGTCTGATCTTCATCAGGCCAAACCCAGCGCTCCCTTCTCCTAGGGTCGGAAAAAGTTAGGGGGAAAGACAGCTGGATCACTGACCTCACACCATTGTCCTCATATCTTGAAAACATACATTTTATCATGTGGTTACTAACAATCCTGGTGCTGTGGTTTGAATCTCCCCACCAAAACTCATGTTAAAATTTCACTGCCATGGTAACAGTATTAAGAGTGGCGAGCCTTTAAGGGGTGACTGGCCCATGTGAGCTCTGCTCTCCTGAATGGATTAATGCTGTTGTCATGGGAGTAGGTTAGTTATCTCGGGAGTGGGCTCCTGGTAAGTTCTGCTGCCATGCTGTCTGGCTCATGCACTTGCTCCCCATGTGTGCCTTCTGCCTCACACCAGATGACCCTCACCAAATACTTGCACCCTGCTTTTGGACCTCCCAGTCTCCAGAACTGTGAACCAAATAAACTTCTTTTCTCTTATTTATCAATTTTTTTTTAGACAAAGTCTCACTCTGTCGCCCAGGTTGGAGTGCAGTGGGGCAATCTCGGCTCATTGCAACCTTCACCTCCTGGGTTCAAACGATTCTCCTGCCTCAGCCTCCTAAGTAGCTGAGACTACAGGCGCGCGCCACTCCGCCCAGCTAATTTTTGTGTTTTCAGCAGAGACAGGGTTTCACCATGTTGGCCAGGATGGTCTCGATCTGCTGACCTCATGATCATGATCCGCCTGCCTTGGCCTCCCAAAGTGCTGGGATTACAGGCGTGAGCCACCACTCCCAGCCTTCTTTTCTCTGTAAATTACCCAATCTGAGGTAATCGGTTACAGCAGCACAAAATGGATTCCCATGTGTTGTGTAGGAAAGGTTGCATTAAAAAAAAAACTAGTTCCCATGTGCTGAATGCTCTCTCTGTACTACGCAGTATGCTAAGATTTTTGGGTGGGGCACAGTGGCACATGCCTGTAGTCCTAACTACTTGGGAAGCTGAGGAAGGAGGATGGCTGGAACCCAGGGGGGTTGAGGCTCGGTAAGCTGTGATCCACTGCAGCTCTCCAGGCTAGGCTACGGAGTGAGAGGCCGTGTCTCAAAAAAAAAAAAAAAAAAATTAGCCTGGCATGGTGGTGCGCACCTACAGTCTCAGTTACTCAGGAGGCTGAGGCAAACAGCTTGAGCCCAGGAATTCAAGACCAGCCTGGCCAACATGGTGAAACCCCGTCTCTACTAAAAACACAAAAAATTAGCTGGGCGTGGTGGCGCGTGCCTGTAGTCCCAGCTACTCGGGAGGCTGAGGCAGGAGAATTGCCTGAACCCCGGAGGTGGAGGTTGCGGTGAGCCGAGATCGTGCCATTGCACTCCAGCCTGGGAAACAAGAGCGAAACTCCGTCTCAAAAAAAAAAACAAAAACAAAAATTACCCGGGCGTGGTGGTACATACCTGTAATTCCAGCCACTCGGGAGGCTGAGGCAGGAGAATCACTTGAACCCGGGAGGTAGAGGTTGCAGTAAGCTGAGACTGCGCCACTGCACTCCAGCCTGGGCAGCAAGAGTGAAACTCTGTCCCCTCCCCGCCCGCCAAAAAAAAAGAAAAAGAAATAAAGCTACGCTGATATTTCCTTTTTGATAACAATGCCCCTCACTTGTCACCAGTGTCACTTGTCATCTCATCTGTCAGGTTACCTGTCCTGTTATGGAAGGTGAGGTGAGGTGTCCTGAAAAGGGGGCAGGTCCACGCTGTGGCAGAGCTGGACCTCCCCGCCCCATACATTTGCTTTCAGCATAGCACAACCTCCTGCAATTCACCTAGGCCTACTTACGTAGATTTACTGATAGCACCCAGGTTTTTGGGAAAGAAAAAAAGGGGAGAGGCAAATTTTTAATTTAGGCTTGGCACAGTGGCTCACACCTGTAATCCCAGGACTTTGGGAGGCCAGGGTGGGAGAATCGCTTGAGCACAGGAGTTCAAAACCAGCCTGGGCAACTTAGTAGGACCCGTCTCTACAAAAAAAAAAAAGATAAAAAATTTAAAAAGTAAATATATGACATTAATACAGAAAAGTCTATTACAAATCATGAGGGTAAGGTTTCACGAGTTTTTACTACACAGATATAACCACCCTTCAGGTCCAGGCGTGGACTCAAACCTGAAATCCCAGCACTTTGGGAGGCCAAGGTAGGAGGACTGCTTGAGCCCAAGAGTTCAAGACCAGCCTGAGCAACATAGTGAGAACCCCGTCTCTAAAAAAATTAAAATCAAATATTCAAAAATTTTTAACTTTTTATTTATGATTAATTTTTTGAGACAGAGCCTTGCTCTGTCGCCCAGGCTGGAGTGCAGTGGCAGAATCTTGGCTCACTACAACCTCTGCCTCTTAGATTCAAGTCATTCTCATGCCTCAGCCTTGAAGGTAGCCGGGATTACAGGCGTGTGCCACCATGCCCAGCTAATTTTTGTATTTTTAGTAGAGACGGGCTTTCACCATGTCGACCAGGCTAATCTTAAACTACTGACCTCAAGTGATTGGCCCACCTTGGCCTCCCAAAGTGCTGGGATTACAGGTGTGAACCAACATGCTGACTCAAAAAATTTTTTTAAAACCACCCTCCAGATTGGGATCCAGAGCATTTCAGCATTCCAGAATCCTCACCTGGTCACTTTACATGCACAGAATTGTACAGGGAGTCCTCGTTTGCATCTGGCTTCTCACATTCAACGTCATGTTTCTGACATTCATCCATGCAGCTGTGTGTAGTTCAGTTTGTTCATTTGCATTGCTGGATAATACTCTATTGTATAAACACAGCAAAATTTACTTGTCTACAGATGATGGACATCTGAGCTGTTTCCAGTTTTTTTTTAATTTTTGTTTTGTTTTTTAAGATTGGGTCTCATTCTGGTCCCCCAGGTTGGAGTGCAGTGGTGCCATCTCTGCTCACTGCAGCCTCCACCTCTCAGGCTCAGGTGACCCTCCACCTCAGTCTCATGGGTAGCTGGAACTATAGGCACACACCACCACACTGGCTAATTTTTTGCATTTTTAATAGAGATGGGAGTTTTGCCATGTTGCCCAGTATGGTCTTAAATTCTTGGGCTCAAGTGATCCTCCTGCCTCAGCCTTCCAAAGTGCTGGGATTGCAGTCGTGAACCACCACACCTGGCTGGTTTCCAGTTCCTGACCATCAAAAAAAAATAGTGCTACTAGGCCAAGCATGGTTGCTTATGCTTGGGAGGCCAAGGCAGAAGGATCACTTGATGCCAGGAGTTCAAGACCAGCCTGGGCAACATAATGAGACCTTATTTCTACCAAAAAAATCGAAAAATCGGACAGGCATGGTAGCGTACCCTTATACTTCTAGCTACTCAGGAGGCTGAGGTGGGAGGATTGCTTGAGCCCAGGAGTTTCAGGCTGTAGTGAGCTATGATCACCCACTGCACACTCCAGTCTGAGCAACAGAACAAGACCCTGTCTTAAAACAAAATAAATAAAAGTCCTGCTAAGAACATGATGCTTGGGCATGTATATCCGCAGCACACGCACACTTTCCTGGTTCCATATTTAGGGGTAGAACTGTAGAGTCACAGAGCATCCATATATTTAGCTTTAACAGATACTGCCAAATGGTTTTCCAAAGTAATTGTACCAATTTAGACTCCTAACTGCAGTTTGCAAAAGTTCCTTGTCAATATCTGGTACTTTCTGTCTTTTTCACCTTATCCATTGTGGCAGGTAGGTAGTAGTGTTGCATTGTTTAATTTGCTTTTCCCAAATAACTAATTAAATTGAGCACCATTTAACATACTCTTTGGACATATATGGATACTCTCTCTCTTGTTGCCCAGGCTGGAGTGCAATGGTGCGATCTCGGCACACTGCAACCTCTGCCTCCCGAGTAGACGGGATTACAGATGCGCATCACCACGCCTGGCTAATTTTTTGTATTTTTAGTAGAGATGGAGTTTTACTATGGTGGCCAGGCTGGTCTCGAACTCCTGACCTCAGGTGATCCACCCACCTCAGCCTCCAAAAATACTGGGATTACAGGCATAATCCACCATGCCCAGCTCTGGATACTCTCTTTTGTGACATGCTTGTTCATGTCTTTCGCCATTTTTTTTTTTTTAAAGATGGAGTTTCTCCATGATGGCCAGGCTGGTCTTGAACTCCTGACCTCAGGTGATCCACCTACCTTGGCCTCCCAAAGTGCTAGGATTACAGGTGTGAGCCACCGTGCCTGGCACCATTTTTTTTTTTTAAGATAGAGTCTCCCTCTGTCATCAGGCTGGAGTGCAGTGGCATGATCTCAGCTCACTACAACCTCTGCCTCCCAGGTCCAAGTGATTCTCCTGCCTCACACTCCCGAGTAACTGGGATTACAGGCACATGACACCATGCCCAGCTAATTTTTGTTATTTTTAGTAGAGAGGGGTTTTGCTATGTTAGCCAGGCTGGTAGAGACCAGACCAGGCTGGTCTGAAACTCCTGACTTCAAGTTATCCATCTGCCTTGGCCTTCCAAAGTGCTGGTATTACAGGCATGAACTACTGCGCTGGACCTCTTTTTGATTTCTTATTGGCTTCTTTTGATCAAAGAAGTTCTTTTTTTTTTTGAGGCATCTTACTCTGTTGCCGCTGGAGTGCAGTGGCACAGTCTTGGGTCACTGCAATTTCTGCCTTCTGGGTTCAAGTGATTCTCCTCCCTCAGCCTCCCGAGTAGCTAGGACTACAGGCATGTGCCACCACACCCAGCTAATTTTTACATTTTCGGTAGAGACGGGGTTTCACCATGTTGGCCGCAATGGTCTCAATCTGTTGACCTTGTGATCGTGATCTGCCCACCTCGGCCTCCTAGAGTGCTGGGATTACAGGTGTGAACCACTGCACCCAGCCAGAAGTTCTTAATTGCAATGAAATCCAACATTCATTCATTCATTCATTTATTTAGAGATGGAGTCTCACTTTGTTGCCCAGGCTGGAGGGCAGTGGCACGGTCTCCACTCACTGCAACCTCTGCCTCCTGGGTTCAAGCAATTCTCCTGCCTCAGCCTCCTGAGTAGCTGGGATTACAGGCACCTGCCACCACACCCAACTAATTTTTGTATTTTTAGTAGAGATGGGGTTTTGCCATGTTGGCCAGGCTGGTCTTGCATTCCTGAACTCAGGTGATCTGCCCACCTCGGCCTCCCAAAGTGTTTGGACTATAAGCATGAGCCCCCACATCCAGCCCAATTTATGATTATTTTTTAATGATTAGTGTTTGTATCACTATTATAAAATGTTTGCCTACCCCAGGCCGAGTGTGGTGGCTTATGCCTATAATCCTAGCACTTTGGGAGGCAGAGGCAGGCAGATCACTTGAGTCCAGGAGTTTGAGACCATCCTGGGCAACGTGGCAAAACCCTGTCTCTATCAAAGATACAAAAAATTAGCTGGGCACCGTGGTGTGTGCCTGTGGTCCCAGCTACTCAGAAGCCGGAGGACTGCTTGCGCCCGGGAGCCAGAGGTTGCAGTGAGCTGAGATCATGCCAGCGCACTCCAACCTGACAGAGTGAGACCCCATCCCCACTCCTCCACCAAAAAAAAATTGCCTACCCCAAGATCATGATGATATTTTTTGTTAACTTCTGGTAATATTATTGTCTATGTTTCATATTTGTGACTATAATTCATCTTGAATTAATTTTTGTATATAAGACAGGGGTTAGTGTTCTTTTTTTCACGTATATCACCCCCCCAAAATTTTTTAAGACAGGGTCTCACTCTGTCACCCAGGCTCCAGTGCAGTGGCATAATCTTGGCTCACTGCAGCCTCGACCTCCCAGGCTCAAGCGATTCTCCTGCCTCAGCTTCCCGAGTAGCTGAGATCACAGGCACACGCCACCAGGCCCAGCTAATTTTTGTATTTTTTTGTACAGACGGGGTTTCACCATGTTGCCCAGGCTGGTTGAACTCCTGAGCTCAAGCAACTGGCCCAATTTGGCCTCTCAAAGTGCTGGGATTACATGCCTGAGCCACCACGCCTGGCCTTTATTACCCATTTTTTTTTTTTTTTTTTTTTTTTGAGATGGAGTCTTATATTGTCACCCAGGCTGGAGTGCAGTGGCATGGTCTCAGCTCACTGCATCCTCCACCTCCGGTGTTCAAATGATTCTCCCGTCTCAGCCTCCCAAGTGGTTGGGACTACAGGCGTGTGCTACCCTACCCGGTTAATTTTTGTATTTTTAGTAGAGACAAGGTTTCACCATGTTGGCCAGGCTAGTCTCGAATCCCTTACCTCATGAACCTCCCACCTCCGCCTCCCAAAGTGCTGGAATTAAAGGCGTGAGCCACTGTGCCTAGCCTATATTACCCAATTTTAACTTATAGCACACACATAGTTTACAAAGAATCCTTCTAAAAAACCATTGACTGAAGAGAACAACGATAGCACAAGTCAGCGAAAAGAAAAGGGCAGAACCCTCACTGCTCCTCCTACTGGGGATAAGGTCTTCCTTCACTACATAATGAAATAAAAGCAGTAACAGGTTAATTGGATCTGATGAGATATTAGCCAAAAAAGGCAGAAGGAGTGGTCTGTATCTTTTCAAGATTTTCGAAACAAGGTTTTAGATACATTATGATTAAAACAGAATTCAAAGTATGACTCCATGATAATCAGCAAGACATGTATTCAATGAGAACAGGAAAAAAAACTTCCAGGCTGTTTTCACTGAGGGAGAAATTAATCTCACTGACATTCATGACAAAAGTTTAGAAGCTTCTCTGTAAGTTTTATAACATACAATACATTAAGTATATGTATATATAATTTATAAATAAATAAAGGTATTTTGGGTTATGTGATCATGATAGCTTTCCTGGTAGTTATGTCTTTGCAATTAAAAACAATTATATTGGGGCCAGGCGCGGTGGCTCACGCCTGTAATCCCAGCACTTTGGGAGGCCAAGGCGGTGGACCACAAGGTCAAGAGATCGAGACCATCCTGGTCAACATGGTGAAACCCCATCTCTACTAAAAAAAAAAATTAGCTGGGCATGGTGGCGCATGCCTGTAGTCCCAGCTACTCAGGAGGCTGAGGCAGGAGAAATGCCGGAACCCAGGAGGCGGAGGTTGCAGTGAGCCGAGGTTGCGCCATTGCACTCCAGCCTGGGTAACAAGAGCAAAAAACTCCGTCTCAAAAAAAAAAAAGCAGTCCGCGGCAATCCTGGCATCTAGAGACATTTGAAGACAGAAAAATAAGCCAAGTCCCCACTGATGCTGATTGCACTGTGCCTGAACACAGGGTCTGGACAAAACCAGGCCTGGCCCTGCCCTCGGCTGCCTGCCAGACCTTGGCCCAGCTGCTTGACTTCTGGGGCTTTAACTGGGGCACCTCACTCATGACCGCACTGACTCTCATAACACTACAGCTGGGAACTGTCAGCCATATATTACAGATGAGGAAGGGTCTGGATTAGCTACTTTTTTTTTTTTTATTTTTTTAAAGACAGTCTTGCTCTGTTGCCCAAGCTGGGGTGCAGTGGCCAATGTTGGCTCACTGCGACCTCCACTTCCTGGGTTCAAGTGATTCTTCTGCCTCAGTCTCCCAAGTAGCTGGGACTACAGGCACGCACCACGTCTGGCTTTCATAGTTTTAGTAGTGATGGGGTTTCACCACATTGGCCAGGCTGGTCTCAAACTCCTAACCTTATGATCAGCCCACCTCGGCCTCCCAAAGTGCTGGGATTACAAACCGGAGCCACCGCGCCCGGCCGATTAGCTACCCTTTTTTTTTTTTGAGACGGAGTTTCACTGTTGTTACCCAGGCTGGAGTGCAATGGCACGATCTCGGCTCATCTCAACGTCTGCCTTCTGGGTTCAAGCAATTCTCCTGCCTCAGCCTCCCGAGTAGCTGGGACTACAGGCTCGTACCACCTTGCCCAACTAATTTTTGTATTTTTAGTAGAGACAGGGTTTTACCTTGTTGACCAGGATGGTCTCGATCTCTTGACCTCGTGATCCACCCGCCTCGGCCTTCCAAAGTGCTGGGATTATAGGCGTGAGCCACCGCGCCCGGCCTGATTAGCTACCTTTTAAATCAGATCTAATAATCCACAAACAGGTCGGCTGAGATCCTGGGGTTCTGGGGCATCCGCGTGGACTTGAGGTACAGCCTATCCCTTTGGCCCAAGGCAACCTTTCTAGTGAAACTCCCAAGAAGAGCGTGTTCAGCACAAAGGCAGTGAATGGGGAGCACCTGGCTTCCAATGATCACTCTGCTGCTTAACCCCAGCGGGACCCCAGCATTTATCCCCCCTGGTCTTCGGCTTCTTCCTTTGCAATGCGGAATAATAATAGTACCTGGATCACCAGATGTTTTAGTATTTAGTGTTTACGAGAAGCTGTGCACTTGATTCTCACAATGACCCTGGGAAGAGGATCAAGTAAGTGGTCTCCAATCCAGATACTGATACTAATACTAATGATTGTGCAAAGGTTTTCCGTTTCCAACAGGCCATAAAATATATTATATTTCTTTAAGAAAATAAGGGAGGAATCTTTGGCTTTCATCGGATTCTCAAAGGTACACATGTCCCCCAAGGAGTTCAGAGACAGCCATGTTACGCAAGTGCAGGGCCCCCCGGGGCTGTCGGACTCAAGTAACAGCTGACAACAAACGTTCACACGCACGATCTCATGCACCTTCACAGCGACCTACCGGGAGGAATTATCGCCCCAATTCACAGCCGCGGAGACACACAGAGGAGGGCGGCCACCTCCCGGGGTCGCCCTCCCGCCGCCTCTATCCCGGCCAGGCCTGGACGTCCCCGGGCCCCCAGGTGAACCTAGCAGCGCTGCCCAGCGACGCCGGACTCGGAGACGTACCTGACGCGTCCCAGAAGCCGGGATGCAACCGCTCCCTGAAATCCCCCGCAAAGACCCTGCAGGCCAGCGCTACCGTTACCAACTCGCCTCCTGCCGCCCGCCCGTCACGCGCATGCGCAGCCCCGCCCGGCCTCTACCACCGAGAAAAGGGGGGTCCCCAGCGCCAGCCGGAGCAAGTCCCCAGAAACTCCGCGAATCCCCTCGGGACAGTAAACGGATTATACAAAGGCAATGTCTTCTGGAGTCCTTTACATGTTCCCCGTTACAGGCTAGGACCATGACCTGCACTCACCCTCCCCACAGACACATTGGTCTGGGTCCCCGGCCGGGCTATCACTATGGAAACGGCGTCTCGCGGACGACGCGGAGGCTTGCAAAGATTTCATTGTTAAGAGAAACCGGAAAATGGTGACCGCCCCGGCGTTGCCTGGAGAACGCCTGGACTCACAGTAGCAAAATAGGCCTCTCCCTGGCTACCCTCCTTCTGCCTGAGCACAAGGCAAGGGGCACCCCTTGCTGTGAGTATCGGGGGCCCACCCGGAACTTTGCGGGGTACCCTGAGGAACCCGTGGCGGGACCGGCCCAGGGTTCGTCAAATTCCGCCGTTGCTTTCAGGTAAGACGGACGGACAGACGCACCATAACCCACCTGTGGCAGCGTGACCCCTCCGCACGCCTTCACGGTGGCTTCTACAAGCAAGGGAAACTGAGGCCCAGGGACCACTTAAAGGTGGAACTGTGAGCAATGGCAGAGAACTACTGGAGAATCAACTCCAGATCTCCTAGAGTCCTAACAGCGTATATTATTGTTCCGTCTGATAAATGAAGAAACTCAGGCCGTTCAAATGTTTACCGGCTGCCTAGTGGGTGTACCAGGTGGCACCATCCATTGAGGGGCAGGACCCAGGGGGCTCCAAGCGCAATTCTCTTTCAACTACAACACCTTGCATTAAAAGAGGGGAGACTTCCATATCCTAGAACCAAAATCTTCACAATCTGGCTCAGCATTGTCCAATAGAAACATAAAGCAGGCCACATATGTGATTTGGAATTTTCTAGTAGCCACATTTTTTTAAAAGTAAAAAACAGAAAAGCCAAGTGAAATTAATTCGAGTGATGTTTTATTTCACTCCATATGTCCAAAATATTACTATTTCAAGATATGATCAGTATTTCTAAATTTAATTTTTTTTTTTAAGATGGAGTCTCACTCTTGCCCAGGCTAGGCAAGTTGTGTGATCTCAGCCCACTGCAACCTCCCCTCCCAGGTTCAAGTGATTTTCCTGTCTTTACCGCCTGAGAAGCTGGGATTACCAGCACCCACCACCACACCTGGCTAATTTTTTGTATTTTTTAGTAGAGGCGGTGTTTCACCGTGTTGGCCAGGCTGTTCTGGAACTCCTGACCTCAGGTGATCCACCCGCCTCAGCCCCGCAAAGTGCTGGGATTCCAGGTATAAACCACCACACCTAGTCAAATGTAATGCTTTTGTTTTTGAGACGGAGTCTTGCTCCATCACCCAGGTTGGAGTACAGTGGTGCAATCTTGGCTCATTGCAACTTCCGCCTCCCGGGATCAAGCAATTCTCCTGCCTCAGCTTCCTGAATAGCTGGAATTACAGGCGTGTGCCACCATGCCTGGCTAATTTTTGTATTTTTAGTAGAGACAGGGTTTCGCCATGTTGGTCAGTCTGGTCTCGTGAACTCCTGACCTCGTGAACCGCCTGCCTTCGCCTCCCAAAGTGCTGGGATTAGAGGCATGAGCCACCCCGCCCGGCCTGTAATGCTCTTGAATCATCCTGAAACCAGTCCTCTACTCCAGGTCTGTGTAAAAATTGTCTTCCATGAAACTGATCCCTGATGCCAAAAAGGTTGAGTACTGTGGATACAATGACTATTGAGTACCTACCATAAGCCAGTAGCATGCTCCTACTTGAGACAGAAAGGTAAACTAAACCAGACTTGATCCCTGCCCTAAAGGGGCTTATATCTACTGGAGGAGATAGGATAATCAGTCAGTTATGTAAATAATGAGTTATAACTGTCATCACAGCTTCAGAGTGTGTTTTGACCATACAAGGAGGTCAAGGTGCTGAAGGAGGAGCAAAAGTTAATTAGATAAAAGAGAGCGGAAATAATGTGCCATCCAAAATGTACCATCCAAGCAGCAGGAGATGAGACTGGAAGGGTAGAAGGTGCCCAGACGTGGGCTGGCCATCCCAGTAGCACTAGTGGCATGTGACAACTAAGTCCTTGGAATTTGGCTAAAGTGACTGTGACTGAATAAGTATAATTTTGAGGCTGAATGCAGTGGCTCACATCTGTACTCCCAATACTTTGGGAGGTGGTGATGATGCCACTGCACTGCAGCCTGGGCGACAGAGTGAGAGCCTGTCTCAGACAAACAAAAGTAAAACATGTTTAGAGTAAAACGTTAAAAGAATGGCTACTCCATAAACAGAACAGCCAAGAGTAAAATTTTAATTTTAATTCATTTGAATTTTGGCTGGGCGCAGTGGTGAAACCCCATCTCTTCTAAAAAAATACAAAAGTAGCCAGGCACGGTGGCGCATGCCTGTAATTCCATCTGCTTGAGAGGCTGAGGCAGGAGAATCACTTGAATCCGGCAGGCGGAGGTTGCACTGAGCTGAGATCGGGCTATTGCCTTCTAGCCTGCGCAACAAGAGTGAAACTCCATCTCAAAAAAATAAAAGAGCATTACATTCATTGTGTAATTTATTTCTACTATAATTACATTGTAACATATAATAAAATAATTCTACAACCCACCATAATGTAGAATCAGTGGGGGCCCTGAACTTCTTTTTCTGCAACTAGACAGTCTAGGGGTGCTGAGAGACAGTGACAGATCGTCATCAGGCATTAGATTCTCATAAGGAGCACACAACCTAGGTCCCTCGAATGCACAGTTTATAACAGGATTTGCACTGCTATGAGAATCTAATTCTGCAGCTCAGGCAGTAACATGAGGAATTGGGAGTGGCTGTAAATACAGATGAACCTTCTCTGCCCGCCTGCCACTCACCTCCTGCCGTGCAGCCTCGTTCCTAACATGCCACAGACTTCCACCCATCCGTGGCTCTGAGGTTGGGGACCCCTGATTGTATGAACCTTCTCTGCTCGCCTGCCACTCACATCCTGCCATGCAGCCTCGTTCCTAACATGCCAGACTTCCACCCATCCGTGGCTCTGAGGTTGGGGACCCCTGATTGTATGAACCTTCTCTGCTCGCCTGCCACTCACGTCCTGCCATGCAGCCTCGTTCCTAACATGCCACAGACTTCCACCCATCCGTGGCTCTGAGGTTGGGGACCCCTGATTGTATGAACCTTCTCTGCTCGCCTGCCACTCACGTCCTGCCGTGCAGCCTCGTTCCTAACATGCCACAGACTTCCACCCATCCGTGGCTCTGAGGTTGGGGACCCCTGATTGTATGAACCTTCTCTGCTCGCCTGCCACTCACGTCCTGCCATGCAGCCTCGTTCCTAACATGCCACAGACTTCCACCCATCCGTGGCTCTGAGGTTGGGGACCCCTGATTGTATGACTAAAGGTTATACTACAAAGTCTGTCAAATGCTAACGTCAGCATTGTTTTATATGCTCAAATAGATTAACTTTTTTGTTATTTCATTTTTCTTTTTTTCAAATCCCCAATTCTGAGAAGCATCAAATATGTTAACTTATTTATATATGTATGTATGTATGTACTGAGACAGTCTCACTCTGTCTCCCAGGCTGTAGTGCAGTGGCATGCTCTCCACTCATTGCAACCTCCACCTCCTGGGTTCAAGCAATTCTCCTGCCTCAGCCTCCCGAGTAGCTGGGATTACAGGGGCCTGCCACCACACCCAGCTAATTTTTGTATTTTTAGTAAAGATGGAGTTTCACCATGTTGGCCAGGATGGTGTCAAACTCCTGACCCCAGATGATCCACCTGCCTTTGCCTCTCAAAGTGCTGGGATTATAAGCATCAGCCACCATGGCCAGCCCAAATAAGGTAACTTTAAACAGGGCATTCGAATCTTGACTGCCAGAATGTGTGCTCCATGAGAGCAGGTGTCTTATTCTTCCACTCATGCCCCCAGCACATAGCATAGAGCATAGTGCTTGCCACAGGGTATATATTTAATGAAGCTAGTTTTCTTCCCTCTCCTTTTATCTTCCCCAAATAATGGCAGTAAAAACTTACCATGTTTCAGAGAATACCTAAAATGGTATGATGAAATATTCAGAAGGGGCCAGGAGAGGTGACTCACACCTGTAATCCCAACACTTTGAGAGGCTAAGGTGGGTGGATCACCTGAGGTCAGGAGTTCGAGACCAGCCTGGCCAACATGGTGAAACCCCATCTCTACTAAAAATACAAAAGTTACCCAGATGTGGTGGCAGGTGCCTGTAGTCCCAGCTACACGGGAGGCTGAAGCAGGAGAATCACTTGAGCCCGGGAGATCAAGGCTGCAGTGAGTGAGCCGAGATTGCACCACTGCATTCCAGTCTGGGCTACAGAGCGAGATCCTATCTCAAAAAAAAAAAAAAAGAAAAGAAAAAACTCTTGTAAGTCTAAAAGGAATCATAGTTAATCCATAATTTGCCTAATGGAGAAAGCAGTAGAAGCAAATCATTCCCGTTCACTGTTGTGAGTCTTGTAATAGATTAATGCAGAACCCTTGTCTTTGGGGAGGAGGCATAGTGCTAATGGCTTGGAATAATTTGAGGTTTCCACAGATGTATCACGTGGGTGTTGTCCAACAGAGGGAACCGTATGTGCAAAGGCATAGAGGTAGGAAGAGCATGTGATCAGGGACCAGGAAAACGTTCTGTGGGTCAGGTGTGTAAGATGCATGACTGTGGAGAAGAGGGTGGAGCGAAGACCTGAACTGGAGGAGAAGGAAGGAGAGTCTGATGAAAGGGCAGTGGAGTTCATGTTCCCACCAAACTCAACATTTTCTCTGTTCATTATGTATGAGCTTCTAGAGGACAGCATCTAAGTCTTTATTCATTTTATTTTTTTTTTAATTTTTCTTTGAGGCGGAATTTCCCTCTTGTTGCCCATGCTGGAGTGCAATGGCATGATCTTGGCTCACCGCAACCCCCTCCTCCCAGGTTCAAATGATTCTCCTGCCTC